GAGTCGATTTAAACCTTCGGATACCTTGGCAAGAAGGTGGCGACGGCGATCCCAAATCCTCATGACTCCATCCTCAACCACCACGCGCGAACCATTCTCATCCAGCTGTCCCAAGCTGATGATGGAGTTCCTCAACGTGGGGATGTAGTAGACTCCGGTGAGCGTACTGTGCTCACCAAACCACGATGGTGAAGATGATCGAGCCGGCGCCCCTTGATCTCCACGCCGGAGGCAACCCCAAACTTGATGGAGCCTCGGGCGCTAGAGTCAAGCTCGGTGAAGAACTCCCGTCGACCGGTCATGTGATGGGTGGCGCCGTGTGTCGAGGCACCACCCGTCCGATCTTATCGTTCTTGGAGCCGTCGCCGAGGAGGGCGTGTGCTTTTGACCCGTCAAGGTGGAGGAGAGCAGCTGGCGGCGGTGTCGCCGGAGGTAGCTCGATGCTTGCATGTGCCATGAAACAGAGCCGGCTCCTCCGCTTTGTGCGACGTGGGCTGGCGGCGTCGTGGTATCTCTGATCCTTGGCCCAATGGCCAAGGCCGCGCCGATTCTTGGCGTAGTGTCGCCTCGTCTTGGCTTGTTCTTGCCGTGGCGCCGCCTGGCGCCTCCGCGGCATCACCCTAAATCACGTCCTCGCGCTTCCCGGCCTAAAGCGTCTCTGCGCGCGCCTTGCACGCGGCTTTGCCACGCTGCGGCCTCCTTTCGCGGAAGAAGCTCCCTCTTCTTTCGGTCACCTTGGCGGGTAGCCACCGCCTCCCGAGTGAGAAGGAGCTTCCCGCCCGATGGTGATGGGCCCCGAGAGATCGTGGCTTCATCGGTTGTCGATGACCTTGAGGCGACCTATCGCCTCCTCGTCGACATCGTCGAGAGATCCAGCGAGACTCAATCGAGCGAGCCATCCGCTTGTACTTCTCGGGGACGCAGCTGGAAGAGCTTTTCGACAGCTCTCTCCTCACCGTATGTGTCATCGCTAAACTGCACCATCTTCGACAGCGAGTGTTGAGATGGAGAGCAAAGTCATCAACGTCCTCACACGCTTGAAGGCCGTGTTCTCCCCTCCTTGCGAAGTGCATGTAGTGTGGACTTGCGGGCACGGTCGGCCGCTGTGCGATGCCCTTAGCCGATGGCGTCCCAAGCCTCCTTGATAAATCCGCTTGTTGGTAGCGAAATCGCATCTCGGACGGGACTACAGCCGATGAGGGCATCCAACGTCCGTCGATCTAGGTCGAGGTCGGCGTCGCCAGTTGAATCGCCTCCCACATGTGCCGCACTTGTAGCTTTACCCTCATCACCGCAGCCCACTCGACGTAGTTGGTCTTAGTGAGGGTATGCCACCTATCGCCGGGGCCGATGTCCCGACGATAGCTCGGAGCCAGTGGTAACCACGGCACCGATCTGGGAGAGAGAGCCATCTTTTTTGTGAAGGCCGTGCTCTCCATCGACCCGTCGACCCACCGCCACCGTCTTGGCGCCTCCTCTAGGGCGCGCGGCCGTGCGCGTCGTCGCCCGCTGGCTGAGGCTGCCATGGCGCTCATGCCGTCTTGTGGCTGCCCCTCACGCCGCTCGTGCTCGTCCGCCTCCTCCTCAGCCAGCTCGAGGTCCGCGTCATTGCTCGTCGATGAGAACGGAGCTAATGATGCGTTGCCGCGCAGAGCCTCGACCTCGCTTGCCGCACGACGCCTGCATCCGATCCGCCGCCGCCGCTTCCGCCTCGCTCGGCAGCTGCTTTACTCCGTTGCCGCCACCTCGACGCCCTTTACCGCTTGCCCGCAGCCGTCTCTGCCGCCGCTTCATTTCGCGTTCCTCTGCCAGCAAGTTCGACTCCTACCGACGCCAAGCGTGCTCGAGCGACGAAGCCGAGATCGCCCTGCGACATGACGCTGGCCACTGGGGTCATTCTTTGTGGGGAGAGGGCTGCTTGCACACTGCGAGAGGGAGAGGAGTGGCAGGAGGCGGCCGGGCTGCTTCTTGCTCCTAAGCAGAAAACATTGAGGCTAGGAAAGAAGATGAGCATGAGATGCTCAGACTCTGAGATAATACGGCTCGATACTGCTTGTTAGTCGTTGAATTTCTTACTCTTGGTAGTAGCAGAATTCTTACTCTCATCGAGAGATGATGACCTTTGGGAGTTAGGGCAATTTTACGTTTATTTTTCACACAAATGTCATGCCAACCCTTTGGGGTTGGGGATACACATATTATAGGTTGCTAGCCAATGAAGCATATGCCAAGATGCTAGATGCTAACATGCTAAGATGATGTCCTAGATGCTGTCCTAGATGCTATCCTAGATGCTAAGATGTTGTCCTAACCGGTCATGTCTTGTCCTTGATGGGCGGCAAAGGCCACCATGCGACCACAAGGACCATATGCTGCATGACCCCACAAAGACCAAATACTAACACGAGACTTATCCCATCAACTACGTGAATCAAACACAAGAGTACCATATCATCACGTGAGTCACATACAAGTTCTGGCACAAATCCAATCATCATATGGTGAACCACATGACTGCGAGAGACAAGCACGAATCGACCAAAGATGTACTTATCACGACAAATATCTCCGCGTTTGAAGCACCTCATGCCCAAACTCGAGAGGTCAAACCCGTGAGCCTTCCACCTCGCATCATCATCATTGGGATGATCTCCACTCTCCCCTGAAACACTAGATCCCCAAGTTACCGGTCTGTGAGAAGCAAAATAGCAAGCTCTTCACCGGTAACAAATTATATTCCACAATGAGTACATCAAGCCGGGGTAGTCCACAGGGAGGGTGAAGCACATGGAGGTGGTCCCCGGGAGGTGAAGCACATGGAGGTCTCTGGATCTCGCGAGGAGGTGGTGGGATTCATGTTGTAGCAGGTAGAGGCAAATGGCCTCTTCAGACGTGACTTCATGATGGACATGGTTTTGGAGGAGATGACGATGTCGGCTAAACTCGATTCAACACCTTGACGATCTGTGATTTTCAGTGCGTTCTTTGGTATAGTCTGGCTTGTTTCAAACTTGTTTCACTTATTCTCTCTCCACGAATACTATTCAATCATCCAAAACCAACCAAAATCTCTTGTTGAGCACACCATCCGAACACGCTTTTGTAGGTATCCATACTCTTCTTGGCCTTATTCTTCCCTGGTATGATACACCCCACTTGTTCTTTGATTTGCTCTTGGGTGTATAGCTTTTTGGTATGATTATATAACTATTTTACAAGATTTTCATAGCCCACAATTGTTTCAAGCATTGTTGCAGGTCTATCATGGTTCCTTGACAAGGTCTTCTTCCAAGCAAATGTTGTTAAAAGACCTTAGCGGCAAAAGCATCCCATTTTGCCTTTACAGGGCTTTTAGGTACTCAATAGGAAAAAGGCATCTCCATCTCACGTGCTTGCGCAACTCTCTTAGAAATTTTATTTTGATTGATCTCCATCGACTACTCAACCAATTAATTAATGGTTACATCCATTCATAACAAAGCAAAACTAATATTGCTAAAGAGAGAGACACGGTTGCGGTGGAATATCTATAAAGCCATTAAAGCCAATGCTTGAAATCAAATACGGCGTATATATTCATCCACGCAAGCTCGATATATCTCCATCCACACTCTTGCAGAGGGAAATCGAAGAAGGAAAAGCAATCGACCATGACGCGCAAGCGCGCGACCTTTCTCAGAAGGCAAGTGGCGGAGAGATGACACTGGATGGATCGGGGTAGCGGTGGAGGGGTCGCAACCTCAGACGAAATGACATAGGTTGGATGGAGAGCCGTAGTGGTAGCGGCATGCGGAGCTTACTGGAGAGTCGGCAGGGGCTGCAGAGCACGCTAATGGGCGAAAGGTCCGATGGGGTTTTTGGGGCGGGTTTGAAATGGATCCGTATGCGGATGGGTGGAAGCGGGTTTAACGGGTTACTGGGTTGGGACGGGTTGGGTTTATAAGGAAGACGGGTTGGGGCGGGTCATGCGAAAAGATGCCTCCATTGTGAATTCCCCAGCGCCCGTGAGGCAAGTCGAGTCATCTCCGCCACGACGCCGAGTCGGTCATCTTCCTGGAGGCACGCAGGCGCTTCTCGCCACGGTGGGCAGATCTCACCGCACCATCAGGCGTCCCTGCGAGGGATCTGTCGAAAGAAAGGTGAGGCGGCGGTCAAGCTTCCAAAGTTCAAGGTGTCCTATGAGTCTCGATCGCCCGCTCGAAATGTAACGTCCAGCCCCGACATACATGGCCCCGCCCACTTTTCCTAGGAGTGGTCCGACCGCGTAACAACCGCTTGAACTTTCGTCACTCGCTTCGTTCAAAGCGGTTAACTCGAAGGTTACTACGCGTCCACGGCCCCGTATTTAAGTTGATCCGACGAATTACAATCATCCCCAAAGATTCGACGTCCCCGTCGAATGCCGGGATCGGCTTACCTTTCGGGACATTTACCCCGGATCCGCCTCTCTTCAACACGCCAGGTGGCCCGTGCGGCGCATGTGTATGCCATGCCGTGACCACGACGGATCCACGCACATGCACACAACATACCAAGAAGATTGTCCCCGCGTTTGTGAAACCCTCGAGAGTCGGCTCTCGATACCAAATGTAACGTCCGGCCCGACACATACATGGCCCGGCCCACTCTTCCTAGGAGTGGTCCGGCCCGCAGTAACAACCCGCTTGAACTTTCGTCCTCGCTTCGTTCAAAAACGGTTAACGAAGGTTACTACGGCGTCCACTCGCCCCGTATTTAAGTTGATCCGACAGCAATTCGAGTTTCCAAGATGGGACTAAACTACGGTTGCATTGTTGTTCATGGTGCTACATGCCTCGTGAATAAGATTACCACCGATTTTTCGCACGCCCACTTCGGATGAACGATTGGTGCCGGTGAACGATGAGCCGCTTTGGATGCTTTGCGATGCATCGCCCATGTTCTCACATAAGATACCGGCCCATTATTTATCGGATTGGGCCCACTTAGCCCATCGAGATGTTACAACACGATTCTCCGAGATGGGCGCGTCACGTTGCTACGCATCCGCCATACGCCATTTAATCACCGATGATAGTCACCCCCTCGTCCCCGCCTTGCGCTACAGGTAGGCTATGGTGGAAGGCGGCGAAGAGGAGCCCTCCATGCCTGAAAAGCGACAACGGCGGCATGGCCATGACGCGACACCTCCGCCGCTTTACTTCCGATGTCGCGATACTCGGCTCTCTCCGCTACCTTCCGATGTGCGATGGAGGACGGGATTGGTTACCCCGGTATGGAGGAAGGTGTTTGGAGGGGCGAGCAACCCCAACACTGCTGTTTGATACGCAATATAACTTATGTTTAGCAACTAATGATGGTAATTAGTGCATGCACGTTTGCCCTCCAAACTCCAATTATAGTCTCTGCGTGGAAGTGGATGCCTTTGGTGGTAAGCGTGTGGCTTTCCTTCAGCTCCACATTCATTGCATGCCTTATGACATACAACTCCGTCAACTCATGCATTTAAGTAGCTTTGCTTTCGGCCAAACCACCCCCACCAAAGTAGGATATAGCCCAAAGGCTATGCATCTATTAATGGATATACTGATTGCATGTATAATTCTATACCTTAGTATTTTTCTTCATTAGATAAATGTATTTGGAATGGTTATGTAGCTTTCGATTACCCTTATTTTACTTGCTTTGTCATATTTTTTCACTCTTATGTTTTCTAATTGACGTGGCTATGTTATAACTTTTTTTAACAACAACAACAACATAGCCTTTCAGTTCCAAGCAAGTTAGGGTAGGCTATAGTTAAAACCCACCAAGAACCTCATGTCACGGTTCAGGCACTTCGATAGCTGTTTTCCGAGCACTCCAATTCAAATATAGATCTCTAGGGCCATGTTACGCTTCTCTTATAATCCGTATTTTTCAACGATTTTTTCAAGCCGAGTACGTGTTTTCTTTCACAAATCAATCAGTAAAGGAGCAGTGTTTTAGCTTGTTTTTTCAGTTGAAAGCGAACAGGTGACCTAGGTATATCACAAGCTTTCAAATCTCTTGTTATTGTCTCCCCATGTTAATTTAGGTCTTCCTCTACCTCTCCTCATATTATTAGCTTGGCTTAAAGACTCCACAATGCCTTGTGGTGCTCTCTTGGAGGTCTTCTTTGGATATACAAACCACCTAAACCAATGTTGGATAAGCTTTTCTTCGATTGGTGCCACCTCTAAGCGATCACGATATATCGTAGATTACGAACTTCGGTCCATTCTTGTATGACCATAAATCCATCGTAACATAAGCATTTATGCAACACTAGCTTGTTGAACATGTCGAATCTTTATAGGCCAACATTCGCCCATAAAACATAAATTAGTCTATAAAACTTGTCTTTTAGCTTTTGAAGATACCCTCTTATCACAAAAATGTCGGGTTTGTCGCCACTTGATCCACCACAACGCTTGATTCTATGGTTAACGTCCATTATCAATATTCTCCATCCCTCTGTAGCATCGATCTTAGATAATTTAAATGTATCATTTTTTAGGCACTACTTGACCTTTCCAAACTCACATTTCTCCTCCCCCATAGCTCCGCCAAAGTCGATCTCTCATGTATTCGGTTTTAGTTACTCATTTAATCTAAAACATTTAGACTCAAAGAGAGTCTGCTCAAACTCTAGTTTCCTAATTTACTCTTTATCGACTTTTTTGTCCACTAACACTACATCATTAATGAACAAATATACACCAAGGGATATCCTCTTGTATGTTTCAAGGAATCTCCTCATCCATTACCAAGGTAAAGAGATACGGAGCTTAAATCGACCTTTGATGAAGTCTAATTTAATTCAATAAAGAATGTAATGTATACCATCGTTTGTTCGAACATTTAGTTATACATTGTCAGTATATGTCTCGCTTGATAAGGGTCATGTGCTTTGATGCGGACTTTATGTTTGTCAAACCCCACCACATAACATTTTTGGTATTACTTGATGTACCTACATGGCCATTAAGATCACTTCCTATAAAGAGCTTCTCACAAAGTAAGACAAATTTAACCAAGCGATCTAAGTCTTTCTAGAAAAGCACGTGCACTCTCATCGCATGCAGCTTCTTGGGGGCATCTCTACGCACTAATTACGCTTTAAGACCATATCATTAACCCAATAAGTTTAACTAAGATGGTCCTATCTCTTACCTTTCACCTCCACCACACCATCCTTAAGGTTATTTATCAATCAAAACTCATACTCCATTTTTTATTTAAAGTTATCTCAGATACGGAGCTTGAGCTAGTTAATTGTCCATCCCTTCTTCGTCTTCCGCCTTCCATTTAGTTTCTTGGAGCGCTTAAAGATATTTTACACGCCTCCCAACCACTGTGGCTCCACTAACTCTTAACTTACCCGTAAGGGACCCTATATAGGCTACCTAAACTAGGATCCTACAGCTTGGTTTCATTTAGCTCTCATTCCTTCAGACCAGGCAAGTTAGGTGTGTGAAGACCCTTGCTCATTTTACACCACAATTGCACCAATGTGAAGTCGCCACTAAGGATGTGATGACCTGATCCTTCTACTTTACTGATAAGTCTCAGTCCTTAACACGTATGCGTCATTACGTGTGGACTGACCCTACTTGCCTCATTTAACACTCATACCGGGTTCGGTACAGTACTCATTGCCAAGAGGGCTTACGCTAATATTTCTTTTGGGTTTTATCTCCATAAAAGTGGCTAAATTTTATATTATTTCGCGCTTAACACAACCATCCTCCAGATTTGAGAAATAATTAAGGATTATTAAGCATGAGCCTCTAAAAATCTTTACTGAATACCTTGCCTCCCCTCCCCATGTTTTGAAACCTAAATCTTTGCAGACACATGGTGAAACATCTCTCATTTTCCTTGAAGGAAAATCACGAATAGACTATAATATGTGAAACCCGATAGTTGATTCCATCATATTATCATATATCGATCGATATCATGATTCATACATCGAAGGTTACAAGAATAAGGCCTGATATTACATCAGCAGGGAACACACCTATTACGAGTTAATCTAACGGAAGACTATCGGTGAAGGCTCCTCCTTCACGGACATCATCGAGTTGGCGTTGATGCGGCGTGAGATTCCATCTCGAACCGGAACTTGAGGCGAAAGTACCTAGACCTCCTCCTAATCCCTTTCCTATAGTCATGATTTCTACGAAGCGAGGGAATGCTGCCATCACCGATATTAATACTGAATATAATCGGCCGCAAATGAGCTTTAGTGGAAAAGATAAAACAAGAGGATCCAGCGATCCTAACATTTTGGCTCATGGGTTTGCATTCTTAATACATGAGATAGTAAATAGGTAATGTAATAATAATGTCTAGCTTTTAACACATTCACATACACATCCACATCCATCTTATATCCATCCACCGACCATCCATCCCAAACTATCCCCACACCACCACACCTTATCTCATCTCACACTCGATCGTGAACCGCTCCCCTCTCGGCCTTGTCCTCAACATGACCCTGGCTCATAATAAGAAAAATACCCCAAACCTGGAGGAAGATAGAAGGACTCTCCTATCATAGTTTCATGAAACCGGGGAAAGGTTCATAGGCAGGCAAGTGACATAATGTATCGATCG